TTGGGGGGGCTCTGCCCTCCCCCGTATTACATTAATAAAAACCACGTATTTATATAAATGATCAAATTAAGACAGTATATGTAAAATCTACAAGTTGTATACAACGTTTATTCAAATTATACTGTAAGTAAATTTGCAATTTGGTGAAACCTAACCATAACCTAACCATAAAATACGATCGATGGGGGGTGTTCTAACACCCACATCACCCCCCCTCTAAATACGCTCCTGTTCCCCATCACTCCCTTATTAGAAATCCTTGTACCACAACTTTATAAATGCATATATATATATGCCAGATATATGTTATACAGGAAGACTAAGTTAACAATTAAAATGATGTGTTGCAGTTGTGATGAACGTTCAGTTGTCTATTATGTAATATTTGCTGACTTGGTATTTCTGCTCTATATTAAACAAATACGGTAACTTGCTCTTATGTATTATTTTGTTTTTCAACCCCACTTATGCATCATCAAATATTCAAATCTGTATACTACCGAGGGGGAGGGGAAGGAGGAAAAATTATATCACTGCACGATTTACTTTCAATTCTTGCACTTTTTGTAATGTATGATTTTTTCTTCTTCGTCTGAGAAACGGTGGTTACTATAAAGTCTATTGTAAACGTATTATATAATATGTAAATTCACATTATACACGTATACATATACACGTATTATTATAATAATAGTGCAAACAAAACGTATTATACTGTATCTACATCGATTATGAGACGTATATCGTCATAAATAACGCGATGTGAACATATACTGTATACGGGGTGGAAAAACGAACCGTTTTCTGTAGGATAATCGTACGTCCAATGATAAAGATGACTTACGTACAGATTTGAATGTATTAATTGGTTTTATACTGGACTTGTTTTGTGTTTAAATATACTACATATTTAACATAGTTCCTCGATTTTAACTCCAAAGTTCTATAAATAATAAAAATTTGGATTTACTAAGTTAAATTATTGCTGCTATGTGTAAAAAATAAGTAACTAGTTGAGTGACAAGTTGATTGGTTTATTCGTCAAAGAAGTTTCATTTAATTCATACATATGATAAATGTAATATTTAAAATTTTAAACATGGAAATTGGAATCGGGACGGCTGTATTGAAGATACTATACGGAAAAATTGTGGGTCACTTATTCTTCATTGGTCTGTCAGAGGGGCGTAACACGATTGCGCACTTTCTACCTTTTTACTTGAAAAAAACATAACACCATTGCGCACAAAATAATATGTGTATGGTATATATAACTATAAATATTGTATAATAATTTATGTATAACATAAAATAATGTATGCATGTATAATTATTAATTATTACATATTAATTCACAATTTTCCTTCCCAATTATTACAGGTTTAGGACTGTCAACAAATAATTATCGTTGACTTGGTTAAAAATGGATTTTTTTTTTAAATTACATAATATATATTATCTTTAAATTAATTATCATAAAAAAATTTATAACTTTTTAGCACAAAAACGTGGTCCTAATGTTATTAAATAATTATTTAACGATATCTCGTTATTTTTATATTTTTCCCATGTATTAATTAGAAATATAATATTTTCTTCGTGTTTTTTATGAGGCTTGTTAATATTTTGTTGTTTTATGCTATATATTTTTAAATAAGATTCTCTTTGAATATCTAATAAAATAAGTATAACTTGATTGAATAGATGAGTAAGGTGTATAAAATTGTGCATTAAAGTGGCTATGGAAAGGTTCTGGCCCATTGGTCATTCTTAAAAGGTTCCGAGCAGGTAAATCCAGTCCTCCACGTATGCGGACAATGGCGTAGCCGAAGGGGTAGGAATAACGAGTTATACCCCTCCACCAAATATTTTTCTTATTTTGTAAAATAATTTTAAGACATAGGTACAATATATAATGTTATATCGTGTCATTGTTAAAATGTTTTCACGGTCATTATAAACCAATTGTTATTGCATATTATATTTTAATTCGTGTTTAATCGAATTATTAAAATTAAAAAGTTGGTACTTAAGTGGAAGACAATTGAAAATGTAAAACGTGTGCGGAAGAAATACATTTTATCGATCGTTCAAATCGCATCTTATTATTTGAAGAATGTCGCGTTTTGTACGCTAAAATAGCTAGAAAATTCCAAATTGACTTATACTTGTGGTTATTATACATCATAGCGTCATCGTTCTCGACTTTCGCGTGTCCGAAGGCAACAGTTTTCTTGTCACTCTGTATGTGTATATAAATTAAAACGCCCATAGTCATTATAATGATACAGAATGACGCTTTTACGCATTACAAGCGTGTATATTGGTAGCGTGTCGCGGCACATCAGTCGACGATCGTTCCTTAATACATACATATATTTATATATTATATACAAACAAAATATAATACGTTCGCACACGCAATTTTATGTGTGCACGAGACGATTCGAACGACTGTGTATTATCAAATGTATCATAATCGTTTTTTTCCCGTATTTTTAATGCTGTCCGTGAATAAATATAAGTGAAAGACCCGTCGACCATTGCAATAATACTAGTGATAATATCGCGACGAAATGCCAACCATAGTCGTCAAATACGGGAAGGTGGGTCTGGACTTTAGGTTATCGGTCATTCAAAAATTGCGAATAGTTCTCTCGAAATATTTCTGGACGAAAACTGAAAAATTGTGTAGTTCGATAAAGTTGACGAATTACTTATTATTACGTACGGAGTTGTGTAATTACTATTTTTACATAAACGTCAAACGTTTAATTTATATGGACGATCAAATGAACGCGTTCATTTTTTCATAGAACTTGAACGTGAAAGAGTTCAATTTTCAAGCGAATGTTCGGAACACTGCTTTACTCCAAGGAAATTGCAGTTGACAAAAGAACTCCGATTAGTGAAAGACCTAATCAGAATATTAGATAAAAAATGTGATCAGTCAGATAAATTAAACTCGGTAGAATTACTTTGTGAATCATTGTAAACTATTTTTAAGTCTACATTTATTTATAATCGTTGAATCTCATGTAATGCATAATCAAAGGAAGCTGAGTGGTTACAGATATTGTCTAGAAATGAAAAAATATGCATTAAATATGTATTATATAGAATTCACAAGTTAATAATTTTTTGAAATAAACACTTTTTTTTTTAACCAACTATAAGTACTTTTAGATGAACAACTACAACATTTGAAATTTTATCGGGCTTAAATGATTATTTATTTTATTTTATTAATTTTAAAATAAAAAATTATAAACCTGATGCGTTACATGTATAGTTTGTACTGATGAAATGTCTTTAAAAACTGCATTATATTTCTTAATTAAAAGAAATAAAATAATAGGATTCATTATAATAAATTATCGTAAAACATATGTGTCTTCAAAGTATGTTCTTGTATTAATGGTCAGAGGTATAAATGATGCCATATAATGACTTTCATCACTAAGTAAAGAGCTTAGAATGTATTTTTAATCATCATTTTCCAATACTTTCTTCTGAAAATAGAGTAGATGAAAACTAAAATCAAACATGATTCATATGTCTATAATCACACTTGCGAAAGATTTTCTGAATTTTCTTACAAGATATAGAATTTTCTCTACCAATCAATTTATAAATTAAGTATTTTGTAATCGCTACTCAATTGTAACTGTACCAATTGGAACGATTCCACAAAAAGAACGATAATTCCCATTACTACAGTTGACCCAGTTCCTTTCTGGGTATGGGTGCTTCAATCATTATCTTTGGAAGAGGAGAACAATCGAGACGGAGGAGACGTACTCATATTCTATTAAGATAGTCGGGATGATGTCGAGCACACCATATTCAGGTGTCCGATGTGGAAACGATGGAGGAGGGAAGCAGAGACCAAGATGAACAAATATTAGTAGATAATATCTTCGAGATAAGTCTACGAAGAGAAGAGGATTGGAGAACCTTGGCCGCATTTTTATTTCACACAACATAACTGAAAAAGAATGTCGTGAGAGGGAAAGACAAATAAAAAATACCATGATAAGGAATTATATTGTTGACCATTGACCAAGGTAGAAGGAAAGAGCCTCCAATAAATTGACTTCGTTGTATCAAAATAAAATAAACAAAACTGTGTTAGGTCGATTTTATTTATACCAACAAACGATGCCCACGAGTAGAGGAGAGGAGAGGGAAGTAATGTAAAACGTGTCCTCTCCAACGAACGATTAAGAAAAAAAAAAGAAAAAACCCGTATGCGGTATACGGAGTTTCTCGAAAAAATAATTCGTTTTGCAGTACAGTACATGCACACTTTTGAGAAGGTTACTCACTAACTGATTGGGCGGGTACCCATAATTCGTGCCCTTTATGTTAATACCAATGAACCCAACAACCGCAACCTGGACGACCATTAGTACATTAGACCATGGTAAATTAGTATCATCACCTACTGGTATATTACTGGTACGATTTCTAGGTAACCGGTCGAACTATGGTATCGGTGAGATGGGAAACCGTACGCTCAAGCTGCTGCCGGAGTTCGTTTCATCCTGATAAACGCGTAAAGTGCGTCGAAGTGCGTACATTATATTTTTGTCGTAACGATAGTTGTTCGCGAACGGACGAAATCCGTCGTCGATTTCTATTCGTAATATTCATATTTACCTATGACTCGTTTTCTACGTTTCGTTTCGCTTGACTTGTTTTAACCGCACAACCTATCAACGCGTACGTTTTAATTCCGTTTACGAGAAAACGGACGAACGTTGTTTCCGTTACGTTTTTCGAACGTATCTCAGAGAGCCCCCCTCGTCTCAAAAAAAATATCTGGACGCGGCATCGGTTTCGCAGAACGTTCGCGGGTTCTGCCGAAGACGTTTTCGACGAACGTTTT